ATTCAAGATGGTAGGGAGGCTGTCCCTTCATGTTTTTTTTTTCTTTTTATTTATTTTTTTATTTTTTATTTTTTGTTCCCATGGCCATTACTTGCATTTCTCCTTATTTTCTGTCAATCCTATAGGTTATTCCTTTAGTGTTTCCTCAAAGATCACTCCCCAGGCTGGTACCACCGAGCTGTGGAAATTTTATTTTTAAACTTTATTTTTAATTATATGTGTTTGTATGTGGCTGTGTGTGAGTATGTGCATATGAGTATAAATGCCTATGGAGGGCAGAAAAGGCCATCAGATCCCCTAGAGCTGGAATTACAGGTGGTTATGAGCAACTGGCCACCGGTGCTTGGAGCTGAGCGCTGTCTACTGTAGGAGCATTGCACTCTTAACTGCTGAGCCATCTTTCTAGTCCTAGATGTGGAAGCTTTAAGGAGTGGGGCTTCATGGGAGGTCGGCTGGTCACTGGTGTGTGTTCTTGAAGGAGATTATGGGATCCTTGTCCTTTCTTCTTTCTCTTAAAAAAATTTATGTATACATGTGTGATCATGTGTGTGTGTTCATGTGAATATACAAGAATATGTGTGTGTGTATGCATGTATATTGTTAAGATGATATAACTCAGCTGGGTGGTGGTGACGTATGCCTTTAATCCCAGCACTTGGATTTATTTACCAAATTTATTTATTTGGTTCTATCTATATTGGAATCACAGCTAGATTCTTTGTGAAAATTAACAAGCCCATCTTAAATAGATAGAGAAATTCAATGGATCCAGAATTGACAAAATAATCTTGTTATTAACAAAGTTGGGGCTGAGAGTGTAGCTTCCCAGTAGAAAACTTGATTAGTGTGACAAGACTCAGAGTTCCATCTCCAGGCTCTCTGCCCCCCCACCCTCCTCTTCTACACCCTCTAGATCTCCTCTCTCCCCTCCCAAATACACAGTAACAAAGTTGGAGAACTTGTACTCCTGGTTACCAAGAGTACAATAACTGAACAGTTGGAGGCTGCTATAAGGATGGTTACACTGATACAAGAAATGGAGGCAATGGTCCCCAAATCAGTCTCACAGTTGTGCTTAATTTAGTTGCAATAAGAAAGCCAAAACAATTCAAACGGGAAGGAATATTTTTTAAACAAGTGGCACTGGAGCAACTAAAGATCCAAAAGCAAACGAATGAAGGCAATCCCTCCGACAAACCAAGAACGAAGGCGACCGCTCTGACAAACTCTGCCTTTTGTTTTCTTTTGTTGTTGTTCCTATCATCTATTATGTATAAACATTAACTAAAGCTGTATCAGAGATGAAAACGAATAACTACAAAACTCCTAGAAGAAAACATAGATCTTTACGATCTTGGGCTCATACATCTTTATGAGCCCAGGCTCGGCCATAATTCCTTAGCTGTGCCTCTAAAAAGCACAAGCAACAACGATGAAAAGGTAGATTGGACATCATCCAAAGTAGACAGTGGATGTATCAAAGGGAATACTAATAGAGTGAAAACACAGCACCTTAGTATAGGAGAAAATATTTGCAAATCACATTTTTAGTAAGGGGCTAGCATGTGGAAAATAAATTCGGAATTCATACAACACAGTAACAAAAAGACACACAGCTCCAGGGTTTTAAATATGCAAAGGAGCTGTATGGTGTTTCTGCAAGGAAGATGTGCCATAGTCTAACAAACATCAAAAGATGTTCAATATCTTGGGCAAAGATGGGAGGCATGAGTCATCATAGAAATACAGACCAAAGCCACAGTAGAATTTCATTTTACATCACCAGGACGGCTGTAATGAAAAGAGACAGTTAACAGCAAGACTGTGGAGACAAGAAGGTGGGGAAATCAGAATCTTCCTGGCCTACCAATGGGAATGGCAGGTCTACAAAAGCCAAAACTGAATTTTCATTGGACCTACCAATGCTAGATGTGTGCCAAGAGAAAGGAAAATGTGTGCCAGCTCAAAAATATCCACATAAATGTGCATCGCACTTTTCTTCCTAGCAGTCAGAAAGGAGTACAGATAACTCAGACGTCCATCACCTGAGCAATGCGGAGACAAATGTGCAGCATATCTGCTCAATAAGGTTATTTGTCATAAAAACCAGTGGACAACTGGCCCATGTCATCATGAGGATAAAACTTGGGAACATTTTGCTAAGTGAAAGAAAGCCAAACAGGAAAGAGCACATGCTATTATTTGATTCCACTTACATGAATTGTTCTGAACAGGCAAAGCCATAGAGACAGGGTGATGGAGGTGACAATGTTCTCAAATTGTGCTCATGGCTCTACGAATAACCCTGTGCCCATTGCACTGCATATATTTAAATGGGTGAATTCTTAGGGTCTGTGGATCGCACTTCAATAAAGCTATTGCCAGAAATGGCAACCAAACGTTGTGCCATTGTTTAGTGGAATGTTGGGTTACTGTGGTATGATCTGAAGGATTTAACAGAGCTATGTAGGAAAGAAGGCAAAAAGATTGCTTGATTGGAGCCAGGCATGATGGCACCCTAGTCTCTGCACCCAGGGGCCTAAAGCAGGAGGACTTCAAGTTTCAGGCCAGCCTGAGTTATACATAAGACCTGCCTCAAAACAAACAAACAAACAAACAAACAAACAAATATATACATAATGTTGTTAATATATACAATGGAGTTTTTATCTGAATCTGTCAAATATTAATGGACTAGACATCATTAATGTAATTTTTGGCTGTATATATTGTATATACTTATTGGGTAGTTTTTCTTGTATTAGTTATAAGCTTTCTTTAATTTTAGACAAAAAGAGAGGAAATGTGGTAGTATTGTGTTCCCCAAAATATTGTGTACCTTAATAAACTTATCTGGACCATAGGAAACTATGAAGTGAGTGGGGCTGTTTACCAGAAGACAGAAAAGATTGAAGTTTCTTACCTATTGTTTACACTTATTCTTTTATTGTATATGCATGTGTGTGGGCATGCACATGCCATGGTGCATGTGTAGAGGTCAGAGGACATTTGTGAGAGATGGCTTCTCTCTTTCTACCATGTGGATTCCTAGGCTCCATCTCTGGCCATCGGGACTATCGGTAGGTGCCCTGACTAAACCTTCACATCAGCTGGAGATTGGAACTTCTTACAGAAGGAAGGGAGAACATTAGCCGAGCAGGCGCGGGTAGACGGATGTTGGATGGTGATGACGCAGGCAGAAGCTGTGCCATCTTGTGTAAGCTCAGACAGATGGACAGACGAAGGACAGGAGGATCTGTTTCGATACCTCAGTGCACGGCAGTTTGCTTCTTCTTGTTTGTCTCAACATGGAAAGAAAGAGGCAAATGAGGGAGGAGAGAGCAGGGCCCTGGGTTTGAAAGAGGAAACTTAGGAGAGCTGGTCAGGGTTGAGAGAGGCACACTGAAGCTTCAGCGGCAAGTAAGGAAATGGATTGTGCAGGGGTGAGGGTGGGGGTGGGGGAGGGAGGGGGCAGGGGCCAAGAGCTGTTCCGGAGCGATCTCCTCCTGAGTCATCCAAGGCAGGCCAGACAACCCCAAATGCTTTCAATGTTACTCATTCGTTTTGGCTTTGAGCCTTTCACTCCCTGGACACCCTCCTCTGGACTAGCTGCCTTTTGGCATCCTTCCTCCCAGAACTGAATGTTCTTGCCTAGCGAGGACTGACTCAAGTCCACTTCTCTGGTTCTATACCATATGCACTTATTAATTCAACCTGAGATGGCTGCAGCACATCACATGGTCCCCTTGCATTGTTCAGTGAAAGATCAAACAAACAAACAAACCAGAGAAATCTGATAGCCCAAAGGTGGTAGCAGATAGTGGTTTGTTAAGAAGCCACATGGAGATGTTCAGCACAACAGCTGGTCGACAATATACAGAGGAATAGGGCCAGGGACCTGGGGTTGGCACCCTTAGATATGGTATTTGCTGGCTTCTTATTGGTTAAGCCAGCCAGCTGGACAAGGGAGCAACCACTCATCCTGGACCTACTCACTGAGCCCAGCCACAAAGCACCCTCACTATGGTAATCCAGTCCAATTGGAGCTCCAACATCGAGAGAAAGAGGCGAATGCAAAGAGATCCTCGGGGCTATAGCTGCCACCCAACACTGGCATTGCTGCTGGGCTAAGAATCCAGGCGCACACAGCACAGGGTGCCTGGCAGCAAGTGGCGGGGTGGCATGGGGAAGGAGCAACATAGCCTTTGCCTCAGATCTGGATGTCGAACCTGCTTCAGCTTCTGAACTTCCTGGGCCGCACTGGCCTCCAACTTGTTCCTAAACCTCTCCAGACTTCTGTTTCCTTATCTGAGAAATGCAAGATCATAAAACCCACCCCTGAGGGCTGGTTGTAAGAAACAGGGCTTTCCAGCCCACCTCTGAGCGTCTGTGTTTGTTAGCAACCCCCCTGCCAACCCCCTGCACAGTGGCACACTGGGTACAGTGGGATGTCTAACGGCCACCCTTCTGGTCTCTTCCTGCATCTTTCTTCTTCTTTGGAAACACCCAAGATTAGTGTCCCTCACCTGTGGATTTTCTTGACTCTACATGCTTCCTCCTAGGACTCATTTGTCAGGAACGAACTCTTCACCTGCCCACCTGCCCCCTTGTCTGTGAAGGCAGAAGAAAGCTCCTGCTTGGGTAGTCCCCAGTTCACAGCACCTTCCCATTGGGTGCTCAATGAACACACGTTGACGGGATGAGGTTTAAAATCGAGTGATGTCTAACGCTCACTCCCCAAGCCTCACTGACTTGCAAACAGAAACATGCTCTCTTGTCTGGCCCATGCTCTCCCTGCCAGCTCTCGGGTTCCCTTAAACTCTCTCTAGAGACTGGGGAAGTTCAAGGAAGACAGCACAGACTCTGCAGACTTCTATACATGGCTTCTATAGTCTTGGCTCTGCAACTTATCAGCTCTGTAACTTGCCCTTTCTGTGCCTCGGCTTACTCATCTATGGAATGAGTCATACGGTTGCCATGGAGATTAACTAAGCAGCTGGCACGGTGCTTCTAACAGCTCCTGGAACATAGTAAACACTGTATAGGGACTTACTCCCTGCACACTGTTCTTCCTGGCTGCCCCATGAGTTCCTTCTCTTTCACTGTAGCTGGCTATGGTGAGCTAACCCAATCATATTAGTTACAGACAAGCAACTCAAAGGAGAAAGGTTTTATTTTGTCTCACATTTCAGGAGATATCAGTCCAGGATGTTGGGGAAAATGAGGTGACTGGAGAGTCAAGGGGGCTTGTAGCTGGTCACATTGTGGTGGCAGACAGGAAGCAGAGAGCCCAGGCCAGAAATGACACATCTCTGCCAGACATATCTCCTGCTCCCAAAGTTTCCATGACCTCCCCCAAAGAGCTCCACCAGAGCAGAGCAAGTGTTCAAACCTAAGCCTGGGCACATTTCAGACTCAAACTTCAAAGCTGATGGTCTCACAAATATCACTTAATCCAATTTGGTGGAGTCCAGACAACCTCTTTGTATCAGTTAGGTGGCCATCAGTCACAGTTTGCAACTACTAAAACCACGGGGCTTCATGCTTTAAAAAATTATTTTATTTTATTTTGAAGTAAAAGTTTATTATAGAAAAGGTACATAATGAGCTGTATGTGTGTGTGTGCATGTATGCGTGTGAGTCAGCGTCTCTCAGTGGGACCTGAGGATGGCAATTCGGTTACTGTGGCTGGCTAGCCAGCCCCAGGGACACAACAGTGCCGAGATTACAGGTACCCCCGGAGCTTATACATGAGTACTGGGGTCCAAACTCAGGGCCTCATTGTGGTGGTATTGTGTTCCCCAAAATATTGTGTACCCTAATAAACTTATCTGGGGTCAGAGAACAGGAAAGCCACTAGATACTTAGGCTAGAAAATGTTGGCACTCACGCCTTTAATCCTAGCATGCCAGAGGCAGAAATCCATCAGTTCAAGGATACAAGCATGGTGATTCACACCTTTAATCTCAGAAAGCCAGCCTTTAATCCCAGGGAGTGGTGGTAGAAAGCAGAAAGGTTTAAGGTGTGAGGACCAGAAACTAGAAGCATTTGGCTGGTAAAGCATTTGGCTAGTTAAGCTTTCAGGCTTCTAGCAGCAGTTCAGCTGAGATCCATTCTGGATGAGGACTCAGAGGCCTCCAGTCTGAGGAAACAAGATCAGCTGAGGATCTGGGGAGGTGAGGTTAGCTGTGGCTTGTTCTGGCTCTCTGATCTTCCAGTTCACCCCAATACCGGTTCAGGTTTGATTTTATTCATAAGGACTGTGAAGATCCCTGCTACACCTCTTGCTTGAGCAGTTAGAACTGTTAGCTGTAGAACTGCCCCCTGAACTGCCCACCCTTTGTACTTCAATGCAACCGTGAGGTCATTGAGGAGCTTGTGGGTTCTGTTTGGGACCTGGGGACCCACCCAAAGCTGCACCTTAGTCTACATCCCAGGTGCTGCTGTTGTGGGCCCATGGACCACGCTTCACTTTATGAGACCCCAAACAATGAGGATCTCTCTGTCTCACAAACCTTCGTAACGATGCAAAGAGAGAAACAAGAATACCAATAAAGGATCCAAAGAAAGTAAGAAAAATGTAGGAGCTGGCAAGATGGCTCCCAGGGATAAAGAACCTGCCACCCAAGCCCGATGACCTGGGTTCTATCCACAGAAAGATGTTGGAAGGAGAAGACTGACTCCTAAAAGTTGCCCTCTGACTTTTACACACAGACAGTGGCATGCACACACTTACATTCACACACAAATATCATATGTGAACACACATATGGAATAATAAATTCTAAAACACTTTTTAAAAAAGATACATAAAGTTGCCCAGACATAAGTCATTTCCCTCCATTGTTTCAACATTTTACATGTTATCAGGGCCTCGGTGTCTGTGATTCTCATGGCCTCAGAATGACTGCTTAAGCTCCAGCCATCAAGCCCACGGCTAGGGCAGAAAGAAGAGATGGGTAAAAGCAAGAACAAGTTCTGAGTGTGTGACCCATTTAATACAACAGTGCGTTTTATGCCCGGAAACCTGAAACAAAGCCTGCTCACACATCCCAGTGCTCAAAGGTCAAGAGAAGGTTTAACTTGGCTCAGTGTGCCCCAAACACAATGACAAAGAATAAGAAAAATGGACATTAGGCAAGCAACCATTAAAATCAGACACATACCACCTGTCACCCTCAGGATGATAAGGTCACGAAGACTGCATCTCCCCACCCCTGATGCTCAGGCCCCGATGCTGGAGTGGTAGAGGATTATTTGAATGCTGCTCATTTCAAATGAGCAGAATCAGCTTCATTTCTGGCCCATCATCCTCACACTAAATAAGCAGATTGTCACAAATTCTCCTGAAGGAAGCCTCTTAGACCTGGGTTCAGGCAAGGAGTGTAGTTTTTCCTTCCTTCACCCATCAGCTACCTCCCTGATGGGGAAGGCACTCTTGGACAAAGCTGCTGAATTAAAAAATCAAGGGGTGGAGGTTTGAGACAAGGCCTGACCAGCCGTCAGCCCAGTCACCAGAGGCAGAGGCAGAGGCAGAGGCAGAGGCAGAGGCAGGCAGATCTGTGTGTTGCAGGCCAGGCTGGGCAACACAGGAGACTCTGCTTTTTGTTTTTGTTTTATTTTTTTATTTTTTTTTTAAAGAGGAGTTCTCAACAAGTGCTTTTGCTTGAGACACCAGAGAAGCAGACTTGCATATCCACAAGGAGAGTTGCAGCTGCAGATGCTTCTGGCAACCTTCTTGAATACCATAAACATAACTGAAAACACAGCCATACTACAACAAAAAATGGAATGGAGAAAAACAATGAAACGTTGCCCACGCCCCGTAACCCATGCGCAAGCCATCGGTTTGGTGTTCCAATTTCCTCAGTCCAACGGATTCAGTTACACGGGGCTTCTGTGAATTGCAGCTTCGGGGGTGAGAATCCCTGGTGTGGAACCTACCCCCACCCCATGGCTCTTATTGCTGAGTTCACATCCAAGAGCCCCAGTTTCCTTATCTACAAAAGTGGAAAAACGTTAGTTGCCCTGAGGATGGGGTTGGGTTCCGTGTGTGTGTGTGTGTGTGTGTGTGTGTGTGTGTGTGTGTGTGTGTGTGTGTGTGTGTTGGATATGTCTAGTCAGCCATCAGGGAACTGAATGAACTAAATGTCCTTGACCATGGTCGCAGGGGCAGGCCCGGGAGGGCTTCTCAGGTCTTACGCTTGATCACTACATTTCAGATCACTATCTGATCCATGTGTTGGTGTTTGGAAGATAAGTGGCTTGGCTGCTGTTATGCCCACCTGGGCAAGAAGCCAAGGCTAAGCTGTGAGCCTCAGGCCCCAGTCCAAATGCCCAACATGAGCTCATTTCTCTGAGAAACTGCCTGCTTCCCAGCAGGTGTAGAAGGTGGGGTGGGTCACTGGTTCTCCCTGGACCTGCCTGTTTCTAACCTTGAAGCTCTTCTCCCTGGCTTCCCCTCCACCGGAGACATTCGCCTTTCCTTGTACTCAGAGAGGGCCGGACCTATGGCCCACCGCAAACAGTGTTTTGAAAACGAAACTGGAAAGGAAGATTCCAGCTTTCTCTTCCCTCCCCTGCCTTCCTGTCTCCACCCACGCCCTTCTTTGCTTCCTATTTTGAGACAGGGTCTCCATGTGTAGCGCTGATTATCCTGGAACTTGCTTGTAGCACAGGCTGGATTTGAACTTCAGGCGACCCTCCTGCCTCTGCCTCCCATGGGCTGGGTTCAGGACAGGTGGCACCATGTTTGGCTGTTCACTCACTTCCCACTTCCTGTCTTGTCAACAGAACCTCTTCTAGTGAGGTGAAGGGAGGAGCGTATCTACCAGGAACGAACTTAGAATTAATATCCCAAGAAATGATGGTGCTAGGCGGTGACTGCTTCTCTGATTATCTTTTCAGATTATCATTATTTTACGCAAGCTACAGCTGGCAACATTACCGGTTTGCCATAGGGTAAGTAAAGATTTGGCTCAAGTCTGAGACCAAATCTAAGATTCTTGACAAGTAGTTTAATGCAACGTCTGCCACCTACAACAACCATGGTACATATCAGTTTTCTCTGTGTTCTTCCTCAGACCAGCTCCTGGTTAGCTGTGAATTGTCTAGAGCTGACAGCATCTTAAATAAAGGGTGTCAATTTAAGTATTGTTAGATAACATTTATGTTTTTTTAAGTGCATCAGGTGCATAGACTGCAATTCAGCATAGATCCTAAAGCAGAAGGAAATGTTTAGAAGAATACATCAAAGGATACATGCTAAATTCACTGACCAGGGGCCAGGAAGAGAAAGCCAGAGATGACGGTGGCAATTAAAAGAGACTTTCGTCTGGGCATGGTGGCATATACCTTTAATCCCAGTAACTTGGGAGGCAGAGGCAGGCAGATTTCTGTAAGTTCAAGGACAGCCTGGTCTACATAGTGAGTTCTCTTACAGTCAGGGCTACACAGAGAGACCCTGCCTCAAAAAAAAAAAGGACTTTAGCTTCACTGTTATGTCTTCAGTTTTTAAAGGAAAATAATATATATATATATATATTACATATGCCATTATATGTATACATTAAAATTAGTTTATTTAGCATTTTAAAAACTTTTAACGAGTTATTGTATGATTTAAAAAAGAAAGAAGGTGGCCAGGGAAGGGACCTGTCTGTCTACTTTGCTGCTTTCGGGGAAGGCAGTGCTGGGGTTGGAACCCGGGCCTCAGCATGGACTCCTCCACTGCTTCGCATTCTTCAGCCTTCTTTACGTTTTGACTCTTGGGGCTCTACCAGGGTTTTCCATAGCTACATGGATTCTTTTGCATGAGAAAGAGGCAAAAGTCCTCCTTCTTCAATCCGACTGACTAACAGCTTGAAGTGGCCCACGTCTTCCTCTTTCTAGGTCTACCCCAGGGGTGCTAGTCAGTTTTTTTGTCAACTTGATACGAGCTGGGGTCATGCGGAAAGAGAGAACCTCAGATTGGCCACCAGGCGCATCTGTGGGGGCACTTTCTTAATTCACGATCGATGTGGGATGGTCCAGGCCACTGTGGGCAGTGCCACTCACGGGCCAGGTGGTCCTGGGTGTATAACAGGCAGAGCAAGCTATGCAGAGCAAGCCAGGAAGCAGCATTCTTCCACGGTTTTCTGCCTCCATCGTCCTGCCCTGACTATCCTTCATGACGGACTGTAAGCAGAGTATGGAAGCCAAACAAACCTTTTTCTCCTCAAGTTGTTTCTGGTTAGTTTTGTCATAGCACTAGGAAACCAAACTAAAACACCAGCCAGTTCTCCGGTGAGTTCCAGGCAGTCCTTCCTTGGAGACTGTAACTTTGGAATTAAAAATACGGGAGCAATAGAGGCCACAGAATGGATGCTAATCAGGAAGAATGATAACAAGACTAGCTGGGTCTTGTAGGAAGGTTTAGCTCATGTCACCCTCCTAAGGCCTTTTCGCTCTTGGAACACATTGCGAAGATTTCACTTAACTATTCAAACACAGCTTCCAAAGACGTTCATTCGGTTTGGGGCTTTGTATGGTCAAATCAGCAAGGAGACTGGTGATATAGCTTAGTTGGTAGAATGCTTACCTAGCATGTATAAAGCCCTGGGTTTGATCTCCAACACAGCATAAAACCAGATGTGGTGTCCCACACATTTCTGATCCCAAGACTCAGGAGATGGAAAGAGGACAGAAGTTCAAGGTCATCCTTGGCTACACAGTGAGTTCCAGGCTGCATGACGTCCTGTCTCAGCCAACAACTCCCCAAGGTTTTGGTGTGTTGACTAGGTGGAAGTTCGGACGTTCTGAGCTACAGCCACTGTGGCATTATCTTTTTTTTTAAAGACAGGGTCTCACTATGTAGTTCTGGATGTTCTGGAACTCACTATGTAGACCAGGCTGGCTTTGAACTCACAGAGATCTGGATTGGACCAAGGCTTTGGCTTTTGTTTTGTTGGATTTTTGAAACAGGATTTCTCTGTGTAGCTCTGGCTGCCTTGGAACTCACTCTAGAGACCAGACTGGCCTGGAACTCACAGAGATCCGCCTGCCTCTGCCTCCCAAATGCTGGAATTAAAGGTGTGCACCGCTGGCCAATGTTTTGGCTTTTATGTAGAAAGGTTATTTTAATCATAATGGTAATTTTTAAAAAAGTGGAACGTGATGGTACATGCCCAGGATGCCAGCACTGGGGAAGTAGATGGAGGAAGATTGGGAGTTCAAGGTCAGCCTAGGACTCTAAAAGGAGGAAATGCTTCATTTTAAAGAGAAAGTGTTTGTGTGTTTGTTAGGATGTGGGAAGTGACCATTCTTAAAAGATTTTTGTCTGAGGAAAAAAAGTCTCTTCTTGAAAGCCACAGATGGGGAACTTTCTAGCTAAACCATTTCCTATACTTGATCATCTCTTCATTCTCCCCTCACAGCTTCTTCTTCATGGCTGCATCTACATCCGGCCACCACGGTAAGTGTACTTGTTCATCCTGTTCGCTGTCTGCTCCTCCACTGATCTGTGAGCTTGGGAAAGGAAGCTGTTTTTTCTGTCTTGTGCATTGCTGTATACCCAGCAACCGGCAGAGGATTCAACAGAAAAGCCCTGAGTGAATGAACGAACAGATAATACTGATTTTCTCTAGGCCCACAAAGAACATCTGGAGTGAGAAGGAGCATCTGTGTCACTATACATCTCTTATTTTAATTAGTTAATTAATTATGTATGTGTACCACAAAGGCAACCTCAGGTGTTGGGGCTCCTCTTCTACTGTCTTTGAGATAGGTCTCTCATTGTTCGCTACCGCGGATGCCAAGCTAGCTGACCAGTGAGCTCCTGGGGATGCGCCCGTCTCCACCTCCCATCTTGTAGAAGCACTTGGTATAGATGTACGCTATCATGTCTGGCTTTATGTGAGTTCTGGAGATCCAGACTCAGGTCCTTACATATGTGCAGCAAATACTTCACCCATGAATCCATCTTCCAGCTCCTATTTTACATATTTTTAATGGGAGAAATTGCTTTGGTGGTCAAGTTAGTCTTGAACTCCTTGGCTCAAGTGATCCTTCTGCCTCAGATGCATACCACCTCGCTGGTCAGGGCTATGTGTATATTTTGTCTTCCTGATGCAGATGCCTCCTCTCATCATCTGCCCTGACCACATTTGTATCATGCATCCACTCACAGTGTGGTCCTGCTTCTCATCCTAAAGACTGTCCACTTCTTCACGGCCACCAGAGGGCTTTTTGAAGACCTCGTCCCCACTCTGTCACTTAGGAATAACATTAATCATCTCTTCAAACTTGCTTGGATGCCAGCTCCCTATGCAGGTCCTACTCCCATGTTACGTGTTTATACCACTTAAGATGTTGCTGGGCATTTCTAAGGCTAGAAAACATACTTCCAACTGGCTTAGATGCTATAAGGAACCCTGATATAGCATTGACAACAAATCTCACTTGCTCCAGGGGCTCAGCTCTCCATAGATTGCCTTCTGAGGTTGACAGAGAGAAAGCAGCCATAAGAGATTGGTGGCTTCGCTTCTTCATTCAACAGTGTCCAAGGATATGGGAATAATGCATCTTCTTTCCATACTGAGGACTGAACTCAAGGCCTTGGGAATGCTAGGAAAATGTCCTACCACTGAGCTGCATACCCAGTCTCAAGGCCAATGCATCATGGAGTTCTCTTCAAGGTTTGTCATAAGTCCTTGTCTGACTTCCCTCTGGACCTTGTTGGTCTTAGTTTCTTCATTGCACATCTGTATTTGTTACTCATGTAAGTTGATAAAAGCAACTCACAATTCTAGGGCAGAGCACATCATGTTTGGTGAAGTCATGGTGACAGGAACTTGAGGCAGTCGGTCGCATGGCACTCAAAGTCAGGAAGCTGAAGGAAATGGATGCTGGTACTCAGCTTGTTTTCTCCTCTTCTGGAGAAAGTCTGGAACCTGAATGAATGGGATGGTACTGCCACAATGGACAGGTCTTCCCATCTCAGTTAACCTAATCAAGAAACCCCTTCACAGACAGACATGCCCAGAGGCTCATCTTTTGGGAGACTAGTCGAATCACCATCACAACGGCCTTAACCCAACCTTTTGTCTTAAGACTAGCTAGCATACTCTGGCTGTCTAAGGCCGGGATTTCTTAATCTGTCTCTGACACAAACAATGAAATGTTCACTGGGTTTGTGTCAGGCTTCACAGTGTTCCTGCTTCCCTGGAGCTGAGGATTACTCAATGCCTCAAGTGGCCCTCCAGTGATGGAGAGGAGGTAGGAAGGGTATTGAAGAAACAGTAGCATGCATGCCCCTCACACTTTCTCCTTCAACCAGTTATTTGGAATGTATGTAAACTAATGTATGAGGAAGGTGCTACCAGACAGAGGAGGAGAAAGATCTGTTCAAAAAGGTGAATGGTCTGTAGCGGCATGGCTTCTTAGATTGCTGTGCCCAGAGCAATAAGCTAGTGAGTCTTAACTGAAATTATACTAAGAAGATCATAGTCAAATGGTAAAAGAATAAGTTTGACTTCCTCATTTTTGTTTTTGTTTTTGTGACAGGGTCTCACACTGTAGCCTAAACTGGCCTGGGACTCTGCATGTAGCCCAGCATGACCTCAAACTCTCAGCAATCCTCCTGCTTCAGCCCCCAAAATGTTGAGCTAACGGGCATGAGCCGGCACACGGGGCTGACTTCATCCTCTGGTTATTCCATCATTCACACTTCCTTGATCTCTAGCTCCACCCACATTCCTGAAGGTAGAGATAAGATGGTAAACTGAGGCACAGGTGACCTCTTATCTTACATCAAGCAGGGAGGAGGTGAAGGCATTAAATAGTTAGGGCTGGAGTATATCTCAGGGGTAGAGAGCTGGCTTAGCCTGCATGGGACTCAAGCTGGGTCTCCAGCAAAACAAAACACACCATAACCCCTTCCTCAGCAGCACTAACAACAAAACCCCAGATAACAACAGGAAAAGGTCGTTGTGGGGACTGGGAGAATGGCTCAGGAGGTAAGAAGCCTGCTGCACAAGCGTGAGGACCTGAGTTTGACTCCCAGAAAAAGCAGTTGTGGTGGCCCACACCTATAACCTCAGGCTGCAGAAGTGGAGACAGGCAAATTCTAGTCAGGCCTAATTGGTGAGCTCCAGACAAAGGAGACACTCAAGGTGGTCCTCTGGCCTACACACACACATGCATATGTGAATACACCCCCCAACACACACACACACCACATGCACATGCATGCACACATTAAAATACAAAAGAAAAAGCTAATAACACAAATGCTTCAGTTTTTGCCCAGGATCTGCTCCCTGCCACCCTTCTCCAGTACTTCGGGGGTAGAGCCAGGAGATGCCTCCTCGAGGCTAGCAGGAGATCCTGAGGCAGTGGGAGCATAGAGGAGGGCTGAAAACTCCACACCAGGACAGGATGCCAAGTTTAGAAGGCAACGTCTGGCAGACAGGATAAGCAGCTTGCCACATGACCCAGAGCTGGCCCAGAGAGAGCTAAGAGCTGAGCCTACTCGTGGCAAAACGAAGACTGTTAATCACCATGCTATGTGCTGCTTCCACATGGTTACCCCATTTGCTGCACCCATTTTACAGATGAGAAGATGGAGGCTCAGGGCAGAATCTGATTAAGGCTGCTGAGTGTAGGAGCCAAATCAGAATGTAGGTAGATCTAAGAGATGTTGCTGTTCACTACAGTCCCATACCACATCTGCAGGGGCCTGTACAGGGTCTCAGCCATACTGCAGCATCTAGCCCTTTACTCCTGCCTCCATTCGCTAAGGCTACAGCTGCTTATGAGAAAAGACCGGGTCTGTTCAGCTCTGTTTCTAGAACAGTTTTGGCATTTAACCCACGATGCCAATGCTTGCTGAATGAACTAAAGAACCGATAACCGGACGAATGAATGGATGACTGCTAGGGAAGCTTCCAGATCCAGGCTATGGCCTCCAGCTAGGAGGATTTGAAAATATTCTTAGCAAACCGGAGATTGTGCCTGAGCCTGTCCTCAGCCTCAGCAACAAAGCCCTCCAAAAGGAAGAAAGAAAGAAAATGGGGCGTAGCAAGGATTCCAGACTGGATTCCATGACGTCACCCGAAGTTGAATGTCTGCACTCGTAAACAAAGGCTCTTGTGACATGGCCCCTGGCCAGGCTAGCCACTCAGCTTACATGGGGGAGGCGGCTGAAGGAAAGCAGCCCCATGTTGGCCTCCACCCTGTATTCAGCCTCTGTATTTAGCAGGTATCTCCTCCAAGGGAAAACCAGGACAGGAAATCATGTTGCCATGGAGACCAGAGAGGCCTTTCCAGACAGAGGGGAGAATAAACACACTCTGGTTGGACTTAACCCCCACCGAGCCACAGTGGCCTCATCTCCTAGCCAGTGAGGCCGTGGTTTTCTCTAGAAACTTCTAGTGGCCTCTCCTCCAAGCACCCTCGACATCAAGGGCTGAGTGTTGACTTGGCCCGAGCAGCGTCCCTGGGGCAACACGGGTTTGAGGATGGAGGAAGAAGCCATTTTTACACGTCAGCTTCAGACCTCCTCAGACTCTCACGGCTGACCACTGAATTCTGACGATGACTAAACATTTATATTGTGTCTGCTGTATGCCAGATTCTACCTACTGTGGATTTGTTAACTCATTCAGGCCTCATAGCAGTCACTATTATGATACTGTTACCAGTAAGGAAACAGACACACAGAGACTGAGTGGGGTCCCCCCCCCCCCCCGCCCAAGGCCATAAGACAGTTGATAGTGGCACCAGAATCTAAGGGACCGCGACAGTGTTCAAACCACAGATTCACTGTCTACTATGACCCCCAGCCCATGATTCCCTACATTGAAAGATTGTTATGGGGTTAAATTCAGTGTGCATGTATTGAGCACCTACTGTGTAACAGGCGCTATATTGAGCATGGAAAGTGTAACAGGAAAGAGACGAAGAAGATACCAGAGACACACAGCTCTCAGTACAGAAAGAGGGGGACCCTCCTGGAAATCCCCAGGTAGGAACAAGTTGGCCCCTTGGGAGAAGTGAAGAAAAGCCAGAGGAGCCGAAGAAACAAAGACTTGATCACATGGGGACCAAGGGAGATTTATTTCTAATCGGCAGGGGTGGGGTTTGTTCCACATCTGGCTCAGTAAGCACTGAAGAAAGACAAGCTCACATGCACTGCCAGGGTGTCCATCATGGATCAAGGGCTAGCCCCTTCAGGCTGAGTGCCGAAATGCTATTCGTCTTTTTAAAATTACCACCTTCTAGGTTAACATATAAAACAATGGGTTTCCTCCTCAGGGCTGGTGGAAGCAGTTCACTGGGAGCAAGTCCTTGGTAATATCCTCTCCGGCCCCTTCCGGTCTCACTTCCTGTTTCCTGGTCAGCCCGCGCCTGAACAGCTTCCACTACAAGGTCCTGCAGCTGTGAGCTGAGTTCTTCCACCATGCCTTCTCTGCCCCGATGGAGGTGTGGTGGTTTG